TGACTGGCACCACACAGGCACTTAATTCTCCATTAGCTCTATTAATCTTTTCCACTAGTTTAGCTACTTCAGGAGGATGGATGTGGGAGGTCTCGTGCTAAATTTGTAGAGAAAATGGGTTGGTAGCATTTGGAGTTAAGTTAGCTCTTAAAAATTGAAATCAGGAAAAGCAGCTTTGTTTGTGGAAAGCTCCCAGAGGCCATTTTTAAATGAAGTCCTTGACGATGGGTGGATATCCGATTCATTGTGTCACCCTGGGTTCCCACGATTAATAGTGTAACAGTGAAAAAGCTTGGCATCTCTGTCTTCATACTGTCTCTGTCTCCTTTGCTGACAATCTCTAGGTCAAAAGGTTCTGCTCAGCCCTGCAGTCCTGAATGTAGGCTTTTTAATCATCAAAAGAAATTTTGTTCATGACTTAAGATTGATAAAATCAGCCTCTTACCCCAAACTTGTACAAAAGTGGGTACAAAAATGATGATTGGATTGTCAAGGACTCACAGGAACATCATGGCCAGACCCATGTCAATGAAATGACTGGCGCCGACTAACCAAGGACAAGGAGTTTCACTTCCCTCCTCAGACCCCTGCTGCCGTCCAGGTGTTTGAGGCGCATGGTCACCTGCTGACCTCAACCTCCTCCTGCTCTTACTTCCCTAAGATACATAAGCTTGAAATCAACCCTGAGTTAACACGGCTCTCTAGGACGTTAGCCCTGTCTTGTCAGTCTGCTGACTTTCCAAATAATTTTACTTACCCAACACTTAGTCTCTCAACTTTATTGGCATGTCGTGTGGTGAGTGGCATGAGCTTGCACTTGGTACCAAGAGTGGGAGCTGTATAGAGAGAAGTTATCATGAAGATGATTTCCATAACCAACAGACTGTTAACCTCACAGACTGCTGACGCTGTAAAGGAAGATGAATGTGTGATTGGGCAGCCTATCTACGATGGCCATCATCACCTCCTTCCTTCTCTGTCCAGCCATACCAAGCCTCAGCTGAGAGATGGAGTCTATTCCTCTGCCCCACACCCTTCAGTCTGGCCCAAGTGACACACTGACCAGCAGGATGCAGTGGAAATGATGTTTGGGCTTCCTGAGGCCAGGTCCCAGGAAGCTTTGCAGCTCCAGCTGAGTTCCTGGAATGCTCATTTGGAGGCAGTTTTATGGACCCTGAGATCCCCACAGAGAGGGGGATGCTGCCCAGTGCCCAGCTGTTTGGCCATCCCAGCCTGGGCACCAGGGGTGAGCGAAGCAGCCGTCTTGGGTATTTCGGCCCTGGAAGATATCAAAACAGAAAAATGCATAAATCCCCGATTTATAGCTCCCCAAGCATTTCAAGCCACCCCAGTGGAGGCCCCAGACCTGGCGAAGCAGTGATAAGCCAATCTTGGTGTGCTCTAGATGTTTTTTTTAATGTCTTTACAATTTTTAAAGCAACAGTAGGTGCTTGTAAATGCTGCTTTCGCAGCACATGCTGAAACTAGAACAGCATGTCCGCATGGACTGGAGCAAGGCTGACATGCAAACTGGAGACTTGTACATTTTGTTGTTACTTTCCTGGTTCCCCAAGCACGGTGTTCACACCTCCACTATAAGCCTCACCGTGCTGCATTAGGGGGACAGCATACCATGCCATTTAGCTTGGGTTTTATAGTCAAGAGTCTTATTTGAATTTATTTTGTAACTTACTAGGTGAGTGACCTTGAGAAAATTGGCTTAGCTTAAGCTCCATTTCCTAATATGTTACAAGGGAATGATGTGACTAGTACCAACATCATGGGGTATTTAAAATTCTGTAATGTATGTAAAGCACCTAGTGCTTGTCACATATTCATATCCTGTGCTCAGTCAAATGGTGATGGTGACCCCCAGAGCACAAGACCTGTTCTTACTTCTCTTTAAATTCACGTACATTTCAGTGCCTGGGATGTGATTCATTCAGTAGGTGATTCATAAAAACTGTTGAATGAGTGACAAAGTGAAACCCTGTTATAAATTTTAAGACTGAGCCTTTTAACCTAAAGGACAACATTATCCGTAAATTATTTAGAGCCAAGTCTCTTAGGTCAGTGGAGTATGTCATTTCTTCCATGAGGTCCTGTAGAGTTGGGTGTCAGTAAAAAAAAATGTCAGTTCAATTGCTTTTGGCGTTTAAGACCTTCAAGGGCTTGATAGGTCCTTAATGATAATTCAGCAAAATCTTGGGATGTGTGTGTAAAGTCAGTGGCTTGCGCATGGTCATCAACCCACTGCTGGGACCAGAGCCCAGTCAAGAGATTTCTTTTCCCTCTTTCTGTGGCATCCTTTCCTTCTTTTGCATTTCAGGGCCATTCAGTGTTGTCAGTACTGATCATTAATCTTTTATAAAGGGACTTGGCAACTCAGGAGAGTCAATGGGAGAACTGTTGAGAATGCAAGACCCACCAGTGGACCATGGAGGTTGTGTGGACCCTTCCCTTATGCATCTGTCCTATTTGTCATCATGACCCATGCTGGAATGGTAACACAATTAAAAAGCCCCCTTCATTAGTGGTAATGGGTCTAATAGGATGCAACTTAATTTTTCTGTAGTCAACATTAGGGTTTCATCCTCGTTTGTGGCTTCTTCTATTTCACTGATCTAAGGCATAAATGTCCTGCCCCTAACTTACTTTGTTGTCTCTGGTGAGACCTAATAGTCTTCTTTGGTTTAACAAACCTGTGTACACTAAGTATCCATTAAGCTAGTTCTGTGGTTTCAGTTACTTTTAAGTTGCAAGTAAGGAAATACAGACACCAATTACATAAACTTAAGGCTTCTTCAATTACTCTTTTCCTTGCCTTTGAAGTAATAAAGGCACTGTTCACAGCTCCCGTGTAGACAGTTTCACTTACGGCATTTATTTCACTCAGAGTCAACGTAGGGACCACAGGAAAAGAGTATGCTGTCCTCACCTCTCTGCTCTGGCAGTAAATTTCTGTGCATTATGTAAGATGTTACTAGCCAAAGAACCTTGCCCAAACAGTATGCAAAAGATAACACGTATGCATAGGCTGGAGATAGTCAGGTAAATTCTTTATTAGTATATATAAGGGAAATAAGAACAGCTGGTTGATTCCCTCCACTCCCTTTTCCCTTGAACAATCAGGGTTAGCTTTTATTCATTTCAAAAATGTTTTTTAGAAAAAAACTCAAACTTTTCTAAGGAAAAAACATTATAGGCAAGGGCATGGGGGAAGAGTGGGGAAACCCAGATGTGTCAACTCTGAAACTCACAGCTGTGCTTTCACATCTTAAAATAAATCTGTTTCCAAGAATGGAGGTTTCTGTTGTTCACGTTTAAATCGTGAATCATGTAAGACTCACTGGCATTTTTATGTTCAAAGTTGGCACCCTTGTTTAGGATACTTATTAAAATCTCATACCTATTACCTACCTATCAGAGTTAGGAGAAATTATTTTCAATCTTGACAGATGAATTAATAGAGTTGTACTGGGAAATAGAAGGCAAAAGGAAACTTGACTGAGCAAAAACAAAACATTTATACAAATGTTCCAAAGACAATTAACTGAACATATTCTACTCAAATTACATGGGAAAAAATTATGTGGGGTTTTTAGAAGTAGGATTGAATACACAATTCAGCATTAACAATAGGACATGTTTAAAAGAAATTAAACATTTGGCCACTAGGAAAATCAGAGTTCTGCTAAAAATATAATATTAATAATAAATTACCAAGTTGGTAGAATTTTTAACCTGATGACTTTCTAAGTAGTGGCAGAAATGATGTGGGAAAAAATATACAAGATCCGTAATATAGCAGCACCTCCTTTTGAACTGGTAAATTATAAAGCTCATTTTTACTTGACTATTCAAGTATTTGGAAAATAGCCATAAAATAAAACATCTTTTTTCAGTTTCTACTACAGAAATATTAATTTTTTGCATGCATACATTCATGTATATGCTCTAACATAGTATTTCAAGGCTAGCATAACCAATCAAAATTGGTGTCATAAAGGAAGTTAAAGGAGAGAGGCTTTCTCACCACATTGCATCCAATGAAGACCAAGGACTCATTCAGATACTTGTCAGAGAGGGGCTAAGTGGTTAATAGGCATTACACCCAACTCCAGGATGAATGGTCAAACCGCTGATGTTGTGGCTCTGAAGTCCGACTTCTCAGAGGTCAGTCAAGGTCATCTGGGGTGGCTGTGCTTCCAGAAGTAAAATCAGAGATCCAATTTCTCACTTGCCACAGTCTGTATCATCCAGACTTTTTATCCAAGGATCTGATGCTTCTAAGCTGGGAATGGTTTAGCTTAATTTCCTTCTTGAGCTGGCTGCTAGGAAGTTATAATTTATAGCCCACTTATAACATGTATTTTGTGTTTAAAGTTCACTCTCAGTTTGTCTTTTTTTTCATTTCTCCTTTTCTTAGATCATCTTATTTTATGTAAATTTTATCACTGTATTGAATGAGGCTCTGTAAGCCCTCTTAAAAACTTTCTGGGACAAGGCAGTGCATAAGCAAACTTTAGATACATTTTCCTATAATCAGCAGAGGCTGACTGAAGTCAAAGATCTCAAATTTAAAAGAACAGTAACAGGGTGAAATAGGTGAAGGGGATTAAGAGGTACAATCCCCCACTTATGATATCAGTATGAATATGTCATGTACAGCATAGGGAACATAGCCAATGATACTGTGATAACTGTGTATGTTGACAGACAGTAACTAGACTTATTGTGGGGATCATTTTGTAATGCAAAAAAAAAAAAAAGGTAACACTTCTTGGCAAATTCCTATTCTCCCTAGGACAAAATTCAATGTATAGAAATCTGAATTTCAGAGGTTGACAATAAATAAAAGATGGATTCAAACTGCCCTACATGAATGTTTGCAGAAGCTTAGGAAATCCCAGAAAGGACCATTAAACACTGAAATGATTCAGGTTAAAAACCAGTGTGACCGAAAAGGGCTTGTTCATGGTACATTACCGCATACAGGATAACCAGAGGTGGATTCTTTATTTCACAAGTTTCAAGATACAGTACAAAATGAATCTGTACATCTCTCTATTAACAAGATTTGTTTACACAATTATATTACACTTCACCAGCCTTTATACTGTATTTAATTAAATACAAAATAAATTTACAAAAAAGTCTGTTGTGGTGTTCCTTCCAATGCCAGCTTATGGCCTTTTAAATTTCTCCTAAATATTGATAGTGGTTATACCTTGATCGTGTGAACATTTTGATTTTTTTTTTTAATCATAGTGTCAGCTTGTTTGTCATTCCAAATAGGAAAAATGGTACATCTGAGATGACTCTCTGCACACAACCAAGATACCCTTCTCATGCGCACAAAATCAGTATTTACTTGTACAAACAGTCATTTTAAAATACAAATGATTTTTACTTGGGATATTTTAGATTTTCTTTAAATACCAAGACAGAGAAATTTAACTTCTTTTCAATGACTACTACGCATTTAAAAATCAGGTAGTGCCTCGGACAATATGGTATTCAGAAATTTATATTTTCACTTTTTTTCGAGAGTAATGAGTGATGAAAAAATTTTCATGAAAACAAGAGTTTATTTCTTGCACACTAGTCATAATATTGTGCAATAAATATTAAATCCACTTTCAAAACAAATCCTAGCTGTCAGTGGGGCAAGTGCAGCCCACAATGCTCCTCTTGGCAGGTAAAGGGGCTGTTTATCTGAAGCATTTTGTTTTGAAATGTGCATGTGAAATGTTAGTCCTAACCTCTGTAAAGGAAGTCTTTTGCAGATGTAGCTAAATGATAATACACATGCTACACATGAAGAGTTGTGTTCTTCACTTACAGGCTTTCATGCGTACTTCCAAAACACTGGTTTGAAGAACAAAGAAAGGAGGGAAAAACAAAGCAAAAAAAAAAAAAATTTCTATACAAAATACTTAAGTTTTCTGGAGGCAACAGCAACTGCTTAGTTAAATAAAGTATCAGGTCATCACCAGATCACGGGTAGAAGTCTCTAAAACTTCTCAATGATACAGAGATAAAACAGCTTAGTAGTAAAACTTTCACAAATTAACCTTATATGCACAAGGTAACAAATTCTCAAGAGTACTTAAGATTAGTGATTCATAAATTAATCTCATTTAAGAGCTAAATAGTGAATTTTTGGGGGAAAAAAGGGCTTTTTACTTTCTTCGTGCCACTGAATATTAACCAAAAATACACTTAACTCAGAAAACAGAAACAAAAACTTCAAACACAGAAAGAAAAAAATCTGAAGACCAATGCTACCTTTGTAACATAAAATAAAAGTAAAATGATAGCCTCAAGATTAAAACAGTTTACTAACCAACAAAGCAGATAACAGGAGAAGATAACTAAGTAGACCACCACTGTATCACCTTCAAAGGCAGGAAGACAAGACTATCAAAGGGGTCCTGGGGACAGGCTGCCAAGGAGAAATGAAGCTACACTCTAGCTGCTAACTCTAAATTCTAACATTAAAACTCCTGAATCCTGGAGTTAGTTTAATGTCACTGACATTAACTAGCTTTAGTTACGGTCATTTTATTCAAATGGATGCCATTTGATTAGGTAAATATTGAGCATTATTTTAGGAGAAACACCAAACCCAGTTCCTATTTGCTTAGGTATCATGTCCCATGAACAAAAAGGGAGTGAAGTATTTTGAGACAGCCGTAAGGACTGGAGTCATGAAGCCATAGGAACCAAGTTATTTTAAAGATACCCTTCCAATTTCCAGTAGCATATGACCCAGGGTAAAACAGGAGGTGCAAAAAAGCCAAGAAAAGGATGTTTGTAATAGTAGAAATAAAAAGGACATGGCAAATGGTAAACTCATGGGACGTCTATTACTGTGGGAAAAACAGTGCTTTGCCACCTAGCTACAGGCGCACGCTGTCTTACAAAATGCTTTTTCAACATACTAATGAGGGAAGTAGAGATAGGAATTAAAAATTGTGAAAGGAGAAATGAGGTGGATGGTAAAGGTTTAGTCATCTTAGAGGATTTTAAAACACTTAACTAAATTAAAACAGTTCCTCTGAAATGAAGTGTGGCTGCCACAACGGACTCGACTTATTTGAAGGGTGGGAGAGGAGGCAGTGGCAAAGTCGCCAACATCTTGCACCAACTGCACTCAAATCTCAGTGTTAAGACATCAAACAAGTCTTAATATTTAAGAGATGCCCCAAATGATATTACACTTTTCAGAGTAAAATTTCCTACCTTTCAGATATGCTTTTATACATATGGTTCTCTCCATGGCCACCTCTTCAACTTTGGAAGTAATTATTTGGGAGGAAAGTTTGCTTACCAGGTTTCTCGTAATACTCTAAACACACACAAAAAAGCATACAACATCACATTTAAAGCCTTCATATTCATTACAGACTAAATCTAGTTCTAAATATTCAAAATCCAAAGTCTTACAACTCTACAGTTAATAAACTTCAAGTTTTCTGGCAGATGGGTGATTATGGAAAAAGCATAAACATTAATACAGAGTGAGGTCAGCAGGCACAGAAAGCCTGCTCAGATACTCGGGCAGTCTCAGACTAGATGTAGGTTGGTGAATACCACCATCTGACAAAAGAAAACAAATTTGGTTTAAATTTTTTCATTTTTATGATAAATGAAGTTCTGTTCTCTGTTGTTTTTCTTCCATACTATTTAACACACAATTCCCTTCATTTCCCTAATGTTAACAGCGGGAATATGGTAACTATGCAAGGGAATGACTTTCTACTGTAGTATAAAACTGCAGAGATAAAATCTACCTGAACAGGATACACAGGCTTGAGCTTTCCTCAACTGCTGAATTTAACGCATCTTACAGCCTCTGAGTTTTAGTATTATAATGGTAGTCACTGCATGCCATATTCTGGCAATGACATTTCATATTTAAAGAATTCAGGAGGGTGATCTATTCTTTTGCAATAAGAAATGCAAAGTAAAATAAATCCTGGGAACAAATGCTTCAACTTTCAGGAAAGTGTTTCTATGATCTTAGTATCCCACCCAGAGTTCTTTCATATTATCTTCTAATTTCTTTCACTTAGTCCATCCTCTGGCTTCCAGATCCAAGCTCTATACACTCAAAACAAACAAGCAAATTATATTGAGTAGGTGGGACAAATTCACATGTTAGCTCAAGGAGTTGGTTCACAATGTCTCATATATTCCATTTCAGAGAAGTGAAGGTCACATGAAACTCTTTAACAAGGCCTTTCAGTCGTTGAAGGAGGGAAGTATGGTAAAAAGCAGGACAGTCACTGGTAATAGGAAATCTCCCAAATGTCCCTTATAAATTAACAATATGCTGAATATGTATACTTGCATGTGGATTGGTAAAGTTTCTCAGTTATTGATGTTCTGAAACATTCTGAAGTGTTTTTTTTTTTTTGTTTTTTTTTTTACTTAAAAGGCAAGTTCTAGTTTCAGACTTTCAAACATGTTAAGGTTAAACTTTCAACTAACTGGGTTTTCTTTTTTACATTGATCAGTTTTTAGTGTCGATGCAGAAGACGTTAAAGGTGGTTGATAGAAGAACTTATGCACATTGAGCGAATAACCCAAAGGACCCAGAAAAGAGAGCTGGATAAGAGTAGACGTGACTGTGTCTCATGTTTCCAGAAAAACAAAAAAAGAACAAGAATAAAATGAGAAGGAGAAGAAACAAGGAAAGCCATTGAGAGTTGTTATTCCATTCGGCACTGAAACAAACATTCAGTTTAGGTAAGAGTTACTTATCCCTGAAAATAAAGGCATCAGATTCTAAGCAGCTTTAGGAATTCAATGCTTCCATGTGCCTCTTCCAGGAGATGGCCACTGATCCAAAGTTGTAAATCAAATGCAAGTGTTCTCAGCAAACAATCTCCTTGGTTGTCACTGATCAAGGCTGCCCACAGTGGCTGTTACTGTGGCGGTGGCTGCTCTGGTGGGCCCTCCTGCTGTGGAGGCGCTGGCCGTGGCCCTGGAGGCCTGGGGACAGGCATGTCTTGGTGCTGCCTCTGCCGGTAAGCTATAACCGTTCCCAGCAGTAACGCGATGATCGTCATGAGGTAAAGGTCCCACTCAGGTCCCAAAAGCTGGTCCATATCAAGATGAGTGAATAAATCTCGAATCTTAATGAGAATATAAAAGTCATTATCATCACTCAAATGTCAGAGGAGAAACTAGGAAAGTTACATCACAAATTAGAAATAAATGCAGAACTTATTAACATAATTGGTTTTACAATAGGTTAAAAGCTTTCCAATAAAACTCAAGAAATTTGTGTCAGGAACTGAGCTATTACTGCATAACAGTTGACTGTAGAGGGTTCCGTCCCATCAGTAATCTACTGCCCTAATTCCCCAAGCATTTTTCAAGAAAATAGTTGAAAGGCACACTGGGGACAGTGGTGTGTGTGTGTGTGTGTCCTGAAGAGATACCCTCAATGGGAGATTTTGAGAACAAAGATGTAATATTCTTAGTATGATGTACTGCAAGACCAAATCCTAGCCTGCAATTGATAGTTTTATTAGTTTTAAAATCTGTGAGACAAGGATCTGAAACAGTCCTGAGAAACAGCAGACCGCCATGCGATTAGCTTTTTAATTGAAGGAAGAGAGATTGTTCAATTGGCAGAGGGTACACCACACCCTGGCTCACACTAACAAGCAATTATGAATTTGCCATTACAAATGTATAAACAACTGGGAGGACAGAGCCCAACACCTCCTGTCTTTTGCAGCCTTATATATACGTGGAGGACCACAGTAGCATGGGCTAGGGCTGCGAAAGCCAGAAGTAACTAAATTTTTCTTTATAGATGCTGGAGCCACATAGGAGGGAAATGGTGTGTCAGCCCATTCTAAAAAATATTAACTGAAAGTTGAAACAACATCCTTTTCTGGTCGAGAATAAAGTTAAATGGCCCTTGTTTCTGTATACTTTTAAGGACCTTCAGAGTTAAATGCTGCATCACTTAATTCGTTATGAAGAACTACAGATAGTATAAACAAAACGTGAAACTGGAGAACCAAGAGCACCTACACATAAGTATTGGTAACTAAAGTTGAGGGGAATGAGTACCCCATCTTCTACTAGGTTTCTACCATCAGCTTATTTAAATAGTTCAAGGTATTTTTAGAGAAGAAAATTTCAGTGGTATTTTTAATATGTTTCACTATCGAAAGAATCCAAAGTACAACAGCCTGGGCAGGTTCTCAAGTACTTCTTCCTTTTTTAAAAAATTCTCTTTTTAAGAGGCTGGTCTGAGTCATTAATAGGTATTCATCTGATTTAATGCTTACTCAATTTAGTTAACTATTGTACCAAATTGCCATGGGTTAGTCTCAATTCTCCTTAAGCCAGAAACATCTACATCCATGCCATGAAAAATCTTTAGCTTCGGGAACCACTGTCAAATACACATGAGAGCTAATTGCTTTGTGGCTACATTCGCCGCGATGAGGTTTGCTGGCACTTCACCTGCGGGAGCAGAAGGGAACAGACCACTTGCAGGACACTCCTCCCCTCCCCCCAACTTCTTTCAGTTCTCAACCCACCACACTGAGAATTACATCACTGGTACTTTATAAAAGAGGCATAGTCCACTTACATTTGTTTCCCGTATGTATTGCAAGAAATACACCACGCCCAATTTGCAGAGTGCTAGGAAGACTGGTACTTGTGCATCTGGACTGGCTTCGGCTGCCATGTCATAAAAACGTTTTGCAAGGTGAATATCCTATAATATAGGTAATAAAACAAAATTTACCTCTCTTTAAAATAAAAATAATTATTATTTAGTTTATATATTTGGAAAATTTATTTTACCTTTCAAGTTTTCATTTTAAAATGTCCCTACCTAAAGAAAAAAAATCTAAGCTTTAATTTAAAGGGTAGTATTTCCTTAACTATCTGCTTAATTTTGAAAAAAAAAAAAAAGACTTAATTCATGTTCCTCCATCTGACACCCCATTTGCTGTGCAGATACATCTGTGCATAATACTGTCACTTGGAAATTCCCAGGGGTGACCTAAAATTCTCAAGTTAATTTTTTCCTACTTAAAACACCAGTCATTGTAAGCAATTTCTGGTTTATTTGGAGCTGCGACTTTGAAACTGGGGTAGATGTACTCAAGATTTCCCATGGGTACCTGCACAATGTTCAAGACCTTGCATGCTGTGTTGCCCTGTCTTGGACACCTTTCTTAAAGGCACAAACAAGTCATCATTAACTTTGTCCTAGATAGGAGTGTTTTGTATTAGACATATGTAGATGGGACGGTGGGCCACTATAAATTTTCATTTAACAACCTCACTTCTTCCATGCCCTGACTATTGTCAAAGAATGCCAACCTCCTAGGAAAGAATGTCAAGAGACATGGGAAAGAAAGGCTAAACATTAAAATGACTTTTTCCATATGTAAATATAGCAGTTACTTTCAGCAATTACCCTAAGCTTGTCCCTAGGGCATGTCATTGGCTACAAAGAAGAGTGCCTTCAAACAACAGTAAATGTATGGATAATGTCTTCGATTTAAAAAAATATATAACAAAAAATTTGGGGCTGCTGTTTTTCAAGATCATGGATCAAACTTTACGTGATAATGTGGACACTGTGTGAATCATCATTTAGCAATCACATCCTGACTTATTTGTTCCAATTATAACCAATCCCCATCTTATTTAATACTTAATATATTTCTGGCTATACTAAATGCTGAACGGATTTAGTTTTGAATAATATCAATGTCTTTTTCGCTAATAGGAAAAAAATGGGAAAAGGTGATCATGGTATGTTATAAAAACTAATGAAATAATTCCAGTTTATACATGATTGATTTACAAACTGAGAAAAGCACACTGATTTTGTCTTACAATGTATTATAAAAACAGTTTTACCACCTTCATTTTGGTTGCTTTTAGTAAGTTATTACTAAGTGCTATCTCATGAAAACCAAAAGTTATGTGTGGTATTTTTATTAGTCATCAAAAACATATTAAGTTTATTTGAATTAAAAATGAAATCAGACTGGAAGAAACTAAGTCTGATTTGGCTGACTGGTTTGACAATGAAGAAAGGTGTCAATAATTACTTTCAATTACATGGCAGAGATCTTCCATCAATTGTATGCACTCAGCCTGCAGTTCCAGAGGGTTGATAAAACTATATTCAACTATCTAATATAAAATATCAAAATTTACATATGGAATTAAATAAAACTAATATTAAAATATGATAAAATGAAAAGCATGTTGACAAAAAAAACAGTCCATCTGGAAAAATGAAATGAACAATTTTCTCTTAAGCACATTATAGGTCAACAAAGTGTCTGTAAGTGACAGAGTAAGGGGTATCATTTGAAAAAGCTTGGTAAAGTCTTATCTGAGAAAGTGAATGATTCCAATGATCAGGGAACACATCCTAGTTTCCAATTCTTTTCCTTCAACAAAAGGAGGACTTAACCAAGTTGGCACATGATATCATTAAAGATAATTTTTATGACAGATCGCTCTGATTTTTTGGCAGGTGTTATGGACTAAATGTGTCCCCTCCAAATCCAGATCTTGGAATCCTACTGCCTAATGTGATGGTTTTAGGAGGTGAGGTCTCTGAGATGTGATTAGGATCAGAAGAGGCCATAAGGGTAGAGCTCTTATGAATGGAATTAGCATCCTTAAAAGTTTTCTAAAGAGCCTGCTGCTGTCTTTTGCTCTTTCCTCATGTTAGGACAAAGCAAGATGACAGCTCTCTCTGACCCAGGAAGCAGGTCCTTACAGGACACCAAATCTGTCAGCACTTTGATCTTCAACTTCCCAGCTTCCAGAATTGAGTGAAATAAATTTGTTGTTTAAGCCACCCAGTTTACAGTATTCTAAGACAGCATACAACTCTAAAGCAGTTTAAATAATTAAGTGACTTTCCTATAATAAAATTTTCCACTTCCATGCACTGATTTTTGTGATATATTTAAAAAAAAATGGAATTAATGCTAAATTTAATTAATATTTAAGCTAATTAAAAAAATGCTCCATCTCATCAAAAGATGTGTTTTCCATAATTACCACAAAAGTAAAAACTTACCAAAATTTGTATCATGTTGATTTGATCAATACTGTATTAATTGACCAACTATGACTAATATCTCAAGAATCTGTCAACACTTAAGAGTCTATAATCAAAGGAAATAAAATACAGAATTTGAATTTATATATTTGTTTCAGATATGCATGAAAGAGAGATCAGTAAAATATATAAGCATTAAAAACATTTGTATATAATTTTGTAGGAATAATGAATTGAAAATGTAAGTTCAGGGAGAAAAGGAAAAGATAGCTTTCACTTAATGAATTTGCTGTAATATTTTTCAAAAATTAAGAATAGGGTCAAATTATTTTGATATTTAGAGTAATTTAGCATTTTATTTTTTTAAAAGTTAGTGTTTAAAATAGCTAGACTTTAGACCCTTTAAAACTTTGGATGAAAAACTTTAAATGTCAAAAATGTACAAGATGTGCAACTTTTCAAAATTCTTCTAAGGGTACACAGGCAAAAACTTAAGGCCATAGGATCTAAGGCACGTTAGACTTTATCAGGAAGATACAAGAATCAGAAATAAGTGTATCAGTAAAAAACATCCTACTCCATTTTACACTAATTTAGAACAGAACTTGGCTGAAGATGGCCAGGTAGTTTTCAAACAAAGAATTATTAATAGGTATAGCATTGCATTTCCATTTTAATGAATCGGTCTTTGGCTTAATATCCTAAATACACAGTGTGGATATTGATATGTATGTGTGTGCTCCAAGAGGCAAGGGCAGTCTTTTGAAATATTACAAAACTGTCTCATAACTTAGTATCTAAAATCTGAGCACATTCCAAAGAAAGCCTATTTTCTATAAAAATGTAGATGGTTCCCCCACATCACAATTATATCATCCAAACAGTTTTTTGAAGCCATGCTCACCTGTTTAATGCCTAGTCCTTTCTCATGCATGTATCCCAGATTAAACATAGCTTGTGCACTGTGTTGTTGCTCAGATGCTAGACGATAATGAATAAATGCGGTCTCGTAATCTACGTCAGTGCCAAATCCATAGAAATGGTAGTCTCCAAGTTTAATTCTAGCCACAGTGTAGCCTTAAAACAAAAGTTAAATGCAAAGAGAATTTTAATTTGTAGTACACACACTTTATAACAAATCCTTCAGCCTAACTATAAATAGAGTAAAAAATCTAAACACAAAGTTTTGTCTTTTGAAGAAGGCTTTGTAATAGTCAGGGAGAGGTTAAACAAGGTGGGTATACTCCCTATGTCACTAATAATACTCTTCAAGTTATCATGCTTTGACCCATCATGCCATTTACAGTTTAAATAGTTCTACTGGACCATCGTTTCAGGTTTAGAGAAGGGACAGGCTTGGAGAAAGAATGCTGAGAGGAGTATGTGAGAAAAAGAAATATTTGAACAAAGAAGAGTGGGAGAAGTTTAAAATCTTTTGGATTTTAGACTGATACTCTATTATGCATTCTACTGAATTCTAATTTTATATAATATACTGGCTCAAACTAAACACGAAAGAGTAAACCACAATATGACATAAATGTGATTCACAACAAATGGATGGAGCTAGAGGGTATTATGTTCAGTGAAACAAGTCAGGCAGAAAAAGACAAGTACCAAATGATTTCCCCCTCATTTGTGGAGTTCATCAACAAGGCAAAACTGAACGAACAAAATAGCAGCAGACTCACAGACTTCAAGAAGGGACTAGTGGTTACCAAATGGGAGGGGTGGGGGTAGGGGGATGAGGAGGGAGGGAGACAGGGGTTGTGGGGTATCATGATTGGTGCACATGGTGTATGTGGGGTCATAGGGAAGACAGTGAAGCTCACAGACAAATAGGGACTCTGTGGCATCTTATTACACTGATGGACAGTGACTGCAATGGGGTATGGGTGGGACTCGATAATAAGGGTGAATGTAATAACCACGTTGTTTTTCTTGTGAAATCTTCGTAAGAGTGTTTATCAATGATACCTTAAAAAAAAAAAAGACCTTGGAATTCAACTTAGAAACCCTGGAACTAGAACTTTCATTTTAAGAATAAATACTAATCATGCTGCAAAAAAAATAAGCAAATAATTAGTATCTCTGCTTAATTTTTCAAGTTGAAATACAGCTGATACACAAATTATTTCCAAGGGTGCAAGCACAGTGGTTCAAGAGTTACCCATATTACTGAATTCTCCCTCCCACTAGTACAGCTACTATCTGTCAACAAAGGAAGATGTTACAGAGTCAATGACTATATTCTCCATGCTGTACTACTATCCACATGACCAATCTACATTATGATTGAGAATTTTTGTGCCCCTTTGTCTCCTTCTACCCTCCCACCCCCATGGTAACCACCAGTTACTTCTATGAATCTACTGATATTTTTGTTCATTCTGTTTTGCTTTGTATTTATATTCCACAAATAAGTGAAATCGTATGGCATCTTTCTCTGCCTGGCTTATTTCTCTTAGCATAATACCCTCTAGATCCATCCATGTTGTTACAAGTGGCAGGATTTTTTTTATGGCTGAATAATATTCCATTGTGTTTATGTACCACATCTTTAACCATTCATTTATTGATATCCTGGCTATTGTGAATAATGCAGCAGTAAACATAGGGGTTCATATATCTTTCTGAATCAGAGATTTTGTTTTTTTCAGGTAAATTCCTTGAAGTGGAATCACTGGGTCAAATGGTTATTTTAGTTTTAGTAACTTTCATACTGCTTTCTACAGTGGCTGCACCAATTTACATTCCCACCAGCAGTGTAGGAGGGCTTTCATTTCTCTGTATCCTCACCAACACTTGTTTTTTGTCTTTTTGATAGTGGCCGTTTTAATTGCTGTGAGGTGGTATCTCACTGTGGTTTTGATTCACATTTCCCTGATGATTAGCAGTGTGGAGCATCTCTGTATTTCATCTTCGGAGAAATGTCTGTATAGGTCCTCTGCCCATTTTTTAGTCAGGTTATTTGTTTTTTTGGTGTTGAGGAATATGAACTTTTTATATGTTTTGGATGTTAACAACTTATCAGATATGTCGTTTATGAATATATTCTCCCTTACTAGAGGATGCCTTTTATTTTATTGATGGTATCCCTTGTTGTACAGAAGCTTTTCAGTTTGATGTAGTTCCACTTGTTCATTTTTGCTTCTGTTTCCCTTGCTCAAGGAGATAAGTTGCTCATGTTTACATTCAAGAGATTTTTGCCTATATTTTCTTCTAAGAGTTTTATGGTTTTACATTTTACATTCAGGTCTGATCCATTTTGCGTTTACTTTTGTGTATGGAGTTACGCAGTAATCCAATTTCATTCTCCTTCATGGAGCTATTCACTTTTGCCAACAACAGTTACTGAAGAGGCTTTCTTTCTCCCATTGTAAATCCATGGCTCCTCTATTGTATATTAATTGACCATATATGTGTGGGTTTATATCTGGACTCTCTATTCTGTTCCATTGATCTCTGGGTCTAGTCTTGTGCTAATACCGTATATTTTAATTACTATTGCTTTGCAGTATAGCTTGAAGTCACGGAGCATAATCCCCTCAGCTTTGTTCCTCTTTCTCAGAATTGCTTTGGCTATTCAGGGTCTTTTGGGGTTCCCTATCAATTTTAGAACTATTCGTTCTAGTTTACTGAAAAATGTTGCTGCAGTTTTGATAGGGATTGCACTGAACCTGTAAATTTCTTTGGGATGGCCATTTTGACAGTATTAATTCTTCCTATCATGAGCATGGGATAGATTTCCACTTATTTGTGTCTTCTTTAATTTCCCCCATTAATGTCATATAGTTTACAGAGTATAGGCTTTTCACTTCCTTGGTTAGGTTTATTCCTAGGTATTTTATTCTTACTGATGCAATTGTAAATTGAATTTTTTTCTGATCTCTCTACTAGTTCATTTTCAATATATAGGAATGCAACAGATTTCTGTGTATTTTGCATCCTGCAACTTTGCTGAATCCAGTTATTAGTTCTAGTATTTTTTTGGTGGAATCTTTAAGTTTTCTATGTATGTCATCTGCAAAAAGTGACAGCTTCACTTCTCCCTTACCAATTTGGAGGCCTTTTATCTCATTGTGTTGTCTGATTGCTGTGGCTAGGACCTTCACTACTCCGTTGAGTAAAAGTGGAGAGTGGACATCCTTGCCTTGTTCCTGGTCTCAGAGGAAAAGCTTTTAGCTTTTCATGATTCAGTATGATGTAGCTGTGGGTCTGTCATATGGCCTTTATTATGTTGAGGCACTTGTCCTCTATACCCATTCTGTAGAGAGTTTTTATCATGAATGGATGTTGAATTTGTCAAATGCTTTTTCAGCATCTATTGAGATGATCATGTGGTTTTTATCCTTTCTGTTGATGTGGTGAATGATACTGATTTACGAATATTAAACCATCTTTGTATCCCTGGAATAAATCCCACTGGATCATGACAGATCATCATTTAGATGTATTTTTCAGTTTGGTTTACTAATCTTTTGTTGAGAATTTTTGCATCTATGTTCATCTCTGCTTAATTTTAAAGTGATAACTGACAGGATTTAATCTTAATGGAAGTTTAAAAAAAACAAACAAACCCAAAAAACAATAAAGAAAGGTTCCTAGATGAAATCTTGTCCTAGAAACCAACCACTCACCTTGAGAGGCGGCCCTGTTCCAGTGTAGCAAAGCTCTGGGGTAAGTTTCATTCTCACCTACTATGGTTGCTTCTCCTACAGGGAAAGATGAAACACAAATAAGGCTCTTAAGGAAAGGCACTAGACTTTTTAGGCTTCATTTACAAACTAGGGTGGATAAGTGGTAAATAATTTAAGTAAGAACGGACATAAAATAAATATTAAATGAACAAGTAATGTACTGAAATTAAAAAGGTATTAGCATAAAACATGGAGTGCACAGGAACCCCTGCATTCAGTACACCACTATCAACAGAATCAGTAATGAGCCACCTCTAGGGATCTACATACTGCTGGAAAAACAATGTTTTCATATCTTCTGTACTTTGAAAAATGTATTCACTGAAAGCAATTAATTTTATGGTGAATGTCAAATCTATTCATACTGTCAACTTTAACTATAAAACTAACTTTGATGACTTAGTGGTCCAAAGTAAAGTATCTTAAGCATGTATGTTAAGTTCTGTTTGCAACAATAATGAAGTTTCCTCGCAGCCTTTCTTTTTTAAACAGGTTAACCTGACGTGAACCCTTGTATTCTGATCTCAAGGCAGGAATAAAATGAATCTCACTCTGGTCGAGAATGAAGGCCGCATTGCTCTGTGCCACCTCATAGCCCTGTTCAGCCAGCAGCAGGTACTGGATCACTGCGGCATTGTAGTCACCATCTTTATAGCTGTTATAGGCAGTCATGAGCCTCTCAGACCAACGGCCTCGTTCACATACGTTCTTAAACAGCTGTGAGAATAGTAAAGAAAAAAAATCAGTAACGAAGATATGCCAGAGAATTATTTTTGCACTTTGGCTACAAGTTGACTGTTAAGCTTGCTCTTTGAAGCTCTGGTAGTTTTATTAAAAATATATACAAATCTAGGAAAATTTATTTGAAGTTTTCACTTAGTCTTTACAACAGGTTAATGAAAATAAAAGCAAACAATTACATATCATTTACTCTGGCCAGGTACTGCTCTAGTAATTTATATACAGTATCTCACTTAATCATCGTGAGGGGACCATTCTATGCAGTCCTATTGGCAGCCCCATTTTACAAGTGAGGAAACTGAAGCATAGAGAGGTTTAGAAACTTTGCTAAGCATTAATCAATGTCACTCTCAAGTGCCCAATTATGGGAGCTGAGGAGGAGAAGTTCCAATTAGGAGATATTAGCATTCCCCTTTGTAACATTCATTCAACACAGTTTTTTGATGCTGGCTATTGTCTCAGATATTGTCTTAGGTGCCAGAGAGACTGCAAACAACAATATTTCCCCTTATAAATGCTGATTCTTATGGAGAGAGACAAATGAAATAAGTAAGTGTGATAGCAACACATAGAACCTCACAGTCTTCCCTCAGTGTATCAATGCAAGTAAGCTGAGTCTGTTTCTACTCCTGAAGAAATCATGCAAAGAAAACCAGAATTAAAATGGCAGACTTTCCCAGCAGGCAAATTAATTTCCTGTATACAAGTGGGTAGAAAGTCCTTACCTCCACTGCAGTGTGACAAGATCGCATCACACCTGTGCCACTGGCATGCATCTGGGCTAGGTTATAGAAAGCCAAGATATGGCCTCCCTGAGAAGCTAGATTAAAATACTTCAAGGCTTGTTTATAATCCCTCTTGACTCCAATGCCATCTGTAAGGAAAGGCACATGAAAGGTCAGGAGTAGTCTTAAATAAGATGTATCTGCTAGAGAAGCTTTACAGAGGAATAAAATGAAATGGAATTCAGAATTCTTGCTTAGGATAGATGTGATCCTTATTAATAAAGATTTGTATATTAACAGATTAATGTAATTTACAACGAGCAAATCACTGAATTGGAAGAACATTTATCATTCAGAATTTAATAGCTCTCATTTCTATATCATAGTGGCATCTAATGGAAAATAGGTTAATTTAGATTTTGGTGTATTCCCCACTAATTCCAATGTTACTTACTATAATACATAGAACCAAGCTGTAGCTGCCCATCCACCCAGCCTTGTTCAGCAGCTTTCTGGAAATACTTCAGTGCCAGATCATAATTCTGTAGAAAAAGAGGTTATGAGATCACATGATGAGAAAGCTCCAAAGGCTTATAATCTCCTAAGTTAGGAGATTCATTCACTAAAAAGAATTAATGAAGCACTACATAAACTATTCTCAAATAGCCATTAAATGGACTACCTTCTAATTTTTATAATATATTGATGGTAATATACTTTAAGTCATAAGGGGATTAATATTTGACACTGTGAAGAAAAGCAAACAGTTTTTGTATATCTACTCTACTTCTCAGAAAACATAAGTAACACCAGTGGAACACAAGGCCAAGATTTATTAAATAGTCATGTCTTTTCTATTACCAACAAATCCTTTTTAAACCTCAATTTTTCTAATATTAAGGAAAATTATTTTCTTATTTGTTCCTTCCCTGTGTAGTTTGTCAAACACTGCATGATTATTAGATTTCAAATATACATATCCATAGACAAAATTAAAACAAAGACCACTACTGAACTGTGGTGTCTTAAAATGGCTAAAAGAAATCAAAATGAGACCACATTACTGTCTTCTGTGTGTAGGGAATATCTATAGAATAAAATCCTAGACTTAGCTCTTAGTTTCAGGCCCAGATTAAAAGAACATATTGCTTGAAGAGAGCATTTAGAAGAGGACAGCCATGGGAATCCAGGGACATCCAACATGAGGAGTTAGCACATCAGAACGAGAAAACAACGGTACAGGAAAACCATGAGGGCTTGAGTCATAGAATTCCACAGAAGAAAGTTCAAGTGACACAGAACCAAACAAGTGTAACTGGACTTAGCTGACATGCAGGTTACTGGTGACTAGAATAGAAGCCTGACTGCTAAGAGCTAAACAGTGAACAGCAGCAGCGTATACAGTTCACTCTTTGGCTTTGCAGTGAAGGGCTGCAGAGAAGCAAGGAGGGCAAAGAGTAGAACTGAAAGCTTTTCTCCTCCTAAATGGGAGGGATTAACATCTTCTTAGGCTTGAGTGAAGAGTACCAAAGGATATGTTTAAGTCTTAGTGAGATCGAAGAGTAGGCAGGGTAGAGAGTACAGGTGGAAGAATGAGAAATGGCTTCACACCTTCAAGAGGAGCTGCCAGAGGCAGAACCATTGTAAGGCAGCTGGTACGGCAGGAATAGGGTGAGGAATGGTAGGGAACCAACCTCGGAGCTTTGGTTACAATGAAATGGCCTCCCCTAGACTAACTGGAAGCTAGTTAAAGAATATTTCCCTGCCTCACCAGCTATTAAAGTTAGAATGTTAGATAGAAAACTTACAACTTGAACTCCTCTCCCGTAGAGATAAGCCATTCCAAGCCCACTTTGTCCAACCGGGTTGCCCTGTAAACCAGAGACAATGAGTGAAAGGATTCATTAAAAAATATGCAATAAATGACTACAAAAGAAAGAATTTACAAACATATTCAAAACATGTCTTAGCACTTTTCAAATCAAAACAAAATTTTCTCCTCATCAGGGCTAAACATAATACTGACTTTTAGAGATTTGGGGCGTTCTTAGTAATTTGCTAAAAAAGAGTACATTGTAAATTCATTTAGAATTTTCGTGACTTTATGACCATCGCTCCATGAATTTATGATATAACACATGACCAACACATTTAATCTTTTTAAAATTAAAGGTAGATCGCTTTTTCTTTTTTTTGGTAGTTTTCACTGGTAATCTCCCTCCCTAGTAAAGAAGATGCCATCGGGTGGAGTTACCAGCCACATAACAATAGAATACTGGGATCAGCTGGCAATGATGCTTAAGGTTACTGGAGTTCTGTGGAGCGATGAAAATCACTGTTTTGATACCTACAGAGAAAAATGTAGAATTCACCTAGACTTGGAGAGGCAGATGCCATCTTTAAAGAAGTGTCACAGAGTTCCTTTGGGAAATACTCAACTGCCATTTAGAACTACAATAACATGTAGTTGGCAAGAGGTATGTACGTACAATGGAGGCATACAGGGTCTTAATATTCATATGTAGTTTTCTCTGGGATAAAGAAAGCCTAAATTATATAGTATAGTTGCCAGTTATATATTATATATTATAGAAAGCCTAAATTATATATTATGGTTGTCAATTATTCAAGTTTTAGGACTCAAGTTGTAATATAAATACGGTAAATTATATAATTCTTAATTTCATTACTAAAATCAGTATTTCTTTGATCAGAAAACTTCCCATTTAAAATGAAACAGACTTAATATTCAATGATCTAATCTCTAAAAAAATTGCTTTCTTATTAGGAAGTTTTCCAGTCAATTTATTCACATGAATCATATTTATGTAAGTACTTTCAATCGCTTATGGCATGAGCTGATTACAATTAACCCTTCAATGTAATAGACTTATTATTAAAATAATAGTAATATGGTACATTTCAATACACTGAGTCATGAGGTCTTACCATGTCAGCAGCTTTCTTAAAGTAGTGAAGAGCTGTCTCATTACTCTGAGGTACAATATCACTTCCCTCTGAATACATCTGGAAAACACATCCCAATTTTATTAAGAGCTATAACCTGCTCTCCAATTATATTTTTCTATCTCATCTCATTCTGGTTTTTAAATCTCATGAAACCTTACAACAAAGTTTAAAGTTCTCAAAGGATATCAGAATTAAGCAAAATCTTAGAATTAAACCTTTTATATCATATATATCCTATGTCATATCAAATTTATGACTTATCTATAAACATGAACGTATAAGATCAGTGCATAGATCACTCTCAAGAGGAGAAATCTCTAATCTTTTTGCTCACTCTATTCCAGGGCAATCGAATAGTGGATAAATCACTTGGAATCAGTACTTAAATGAGCAAAAGGAGAGCTGCTAGCACTGCTCACTTTCCTCTCTCCTATACCGCTACTTTCCCCAGGACAAGATTAAGGGTAGGTCTTAAGTTCAGAAAAAGAAAAAAACTAAACGGTTATTTAAAAAAGTTTCTAAGCACTGAATGAGTAGAGTATCAAGTATGGCACCTGACAATAAGGCCAAGAGGAAGAAGAACAGAATGACCAGTACTGTTTTTATCCATGTACTTACCAAGGAAACAACAAAGGAAATAGAGATAGGGTTCATTAGGAACTCAGAAGAATTGAAAGGACTGGAGTGAAAAGTTCTTTAATGCTTAACAAGAACAGCTGCGGAATACAAACTTCTATACTGTAATAGTTGCAATTTCTAAATGTAAAGTTCTCAGGCCCCAATTACCTAGTTGTGGTCATGTGGCAAATACTGATTAAAATTTTCTATTTGTAAAAATCTTTGAGATATATTCTATTGGAGCCTTATGGTTACAGATGAAAATACCCACTGGTTTACACTGTGGTTACAGATGAAAATACCCATTGTTTTACACTGTGTTTGTTTTCAAAATAATGAAAGAGAAGTTTTGAGATTGTGCCATGGCATATGGAATGTAGTCATTATGTCTCTACACTTACAGATCTCCTTGCTTGAGGAAAAAACTACACTGGGAGCTGGGTGATGAGACAATTAAAGATCTGCAGACAGATTCCAACAAACTGTAATTGCCTCTATTCAGCATGGAATAAAGCAGGCAAATATGACAAACTTAGCAAAAAACTGCACAGCATAAAAAATAAATTCTCATTATTGTGTATGATACACAAAAAGTAGGCGCTCAGACAGGGATAGCTAATTCCAATAGTGAATTAAGATACTGATGAGTACATTCTTTGTTACAGTTATCTAAGAAAATGCCTCAAAATAATACTTACCTTTAGGTATAATAAAATCCTTGCATTGGAAATTTTATTTCCAGTTTATTTTTAGTAAACTGTAGATTCTGAAAACAGTATGAGCTCACTATGCAACTACATCTACTACGTAACACATTCACAGGATGTACAGTACCTTTCCCAAGAAGGCCATAGCATGTGAATTGCCAGCATTAGCTGCTAAATTGAAGTAGTCAAATGCTCTCTGTGAGAAAGAAATTAAAAGAATTCGTTTTTAATAGAATCTGCCTTTGGCTTTTAGCCAAAATGGTTACTTCAGGAACATTTAAAACATCTTGTTATATTGCAGTATCTCACCTGAAGTAAATGGTAATATGACATCTATTCGTTGCTCAAGGTACCCACCCCACGTCCCCATCCCTTTCATATCCAATCCATCACTACGTCCTGTTACTTTTACCATCAAACACATCTTGAATCCATCTATTATCCCCCACTACCACAATTCTAGTCTAAGCTACATTTTTCTCTTACCTGAACTTCTGGACTCTCTCCTCCCTAATTTCCCTGCTTTTATTCTTGGGGTCACCCAAAGCAACTGTTCCACGTACTGGTCCTTACAGCTTCTTGTAGCTTTGCAGGGAATAAATATACTGATGCGACCAGACACTGCTTATATCAGTACTACTTCCTCTTGCTCTCTGTACTCTGGGTAAACCAGCCATGTTTCTTTCTGCCTCAGGACTATAAACATACTATTCTTTTTGCCTTACAATAACCTTCTTTCAGGCTCAATTTACATTTCATCGATTTCTCCCCAGAGACAACTGCCATCTCTCACTCATTAACTTGTTATTGGACTCTTTAATTCTCCTTTGTAACGATCACAATTTATTACATACTTGTTGGTATGATCATTTTAAAAATACTGAATTAAGCTTGAAGCACTGTTAAGGACAAGGACCACAGCTATTGTATCTAGCATTGCATACTGAATGCCTAACAGTGAATAGGCACAAAATAGTAGGTATATTAAAATACTTGTTGAATTAATGTAATTACATAATTAGGAACTCTTTTTGTTCCTTCTGTGAAGCTGGTGAAATAATTTATCACTGTGTAGTTGCTTTGTAGGTAGGCAGCATAAGCCAGCAAGAATATTCCCAAACTTACTGTATAAAAGTTATATAGTAAACTTTTACCCAGAACTTTGTTCTCTCACCTGACATTTTAATTAACCAGTTCATCGGATGCTTCACTGGCCTAACATACACTTTAATGACCTAAAGACAATGAAAGTTGTCAAAATGCTGTGTGAATAAAAAAGCATAGATATTTGATAAGGTTTTAGTAATAAGTGTATTTTGTTATAATCTAATTCTTCAAGTTGGTGGGATACAGTATATGAAATAATCTTAATTAGAATATTTAACTGGTATGGTAGGAAAACAGAGTTTTATTGGTCTGGCAAACATTTATTGGGAACTTACTATGCATTGGGTACTGTCAGGTGCTGGGAATAAAGTAGCAAATAAGGCAGATACAGTCCACACTCTTTTGGACCTTATGTTCTAGCAGAGGAAACAACTTGATTACTAATTTGCAACGGACACAGGCCACGACGATTAGAGATCTTCAAAAATTGTATCTGTGGTACATAACCTATTTCTGGTTTGGGGTGAGGAGTCCATGGAGATACATTAGGGAAAGAGATACTGGACTTGCATTCTGGAGAGTGAGTAGGAATTAGCTATATGAAGAAAGGAGGTGGGGTAATATTCACTCTGGATAGAGGGACTAGCAGTCCAGAATTCCTGAGACAGGGGAGTTCCTGATATTTTCAAACATGTGAGAAAAGGTCTGTGCGTCCGTGACTCAGACAGCAAGGGACTGGTGAGGTAGAGAGTCTGTAAAAGGCCTTGGAGGTTGTGTTAAAGGTTTTTGTCTTTAAGCTACTGGAAGTCATGGACTGCTCAAGAGTTTTAAGAGAATCACATGATCAGATGTGTGGTGTACAAAGATAGGTTGTTGCTTAGGGAATGCAAGCAGTAGATGATTCCCACAAGTGATACAGTGTACTGATGGGAAGAGTGGAAGAGGGGAGTGATAATTAGGACACAGAGCAGACTGGATATAGATCTGTTACAGTTGCATGCTCCTAATTTCTCACAAACTTAAGAATGAGTTTTCCTCAGTTCTATGAAGTACTTTCTAATAGAAGTTTTAAGACAGACTTCTATCACATAAAAAACCAAGACACTGAATGTGTATTTCTAGCAATACTGAGAACAAGGGTTTAGAATTAATAAAACCTTTTCCACCACTATGAAGTATAACCACATTTTTATTCTTCAGCTTCCTGAACAGTTAGGTAGAACTTGGAAGTTCATTTATGAAGACTGTCTAAGTAACAAAACCTGCTACTGTCACTGACTTGGCAAGAAATGCATCTGGAGCACCACTGCTCTCTGCAACCTGAAATGCGGAACCCTAGGGGCAGGAAATTACCTGATGGTTTTGTTCTACTCCACGCCCTCCATGCAGATGCAGCTGTCCCAGACCAACCTGAAAGTTAACAAAAATGAGACAAAAGTAAATGATAGCATCTGGTGTATAAATCAGAACAAAAAATCAATTGATCATAAACAAGGTTTCTGCTGGTAACTCAAAAAAATCAGATTCAGTCTTAACTCCTAAAGATACTACTATTCTACTTTAACTTACATTTTTTAGAAACTAAAAATATCTGCTTTTAATTACAAGATATCTTTCTGAAATGGAGGTGAAATAAAGTAATTTTTAGACAGACTAAAACTGAATTTGTCACTGATGAACATACTCTAAAGGAAATACTAATACATGTTTTCAGGAAGAAGAAAAACTATCCTGGGGAGATGCGGTAAGAAATAAAGAGCAATGGAAAGGTAAATTTGTGAGTAAATATAAATTACATGGACTACTTAGAAGAATAATACCTTGTGGGGTTCAAAAATATGTAGAATTAAAACATAGGTGGAGTACGTTAAGTTACACATTGTCCAGGAAATGGTAAAAGTGCTCATTCACACTAGATCTCAGATAAAAGAGTAGTAAAAGAATTTCTAACCACTCTCCTGGTAGAGAGGAAGAGACAGAGTAGTAAAAAAACACTCAAACCAAAAGAGGGCAGGAAAGGAGAGAAAAGGGAATATGGGAAAGCACAATAAAAGAAATCAAGTAAGGCATAAAATGTAAACCCAAATACATCACTAATACTCCATTTAAAAGACTGTCAGAATGCATAATAAAAACACAACTTATGATGCTTACAAGCAACATACCTTAAACATAAGAAGGCTGAACATACAAATGGGGAAGATATTTCACATAAATACTACCCAAAAGAAAGCAGCACAGCTATGCTAATACCAGGAAAATTATAATTTAAAGCAAAAAAAACATTTTTAGAGATAAAAGAGGACATTTCATGATATAGAAGTTAGTTCAACAGAAAGCTAATGTTAAATCTGTATGCATTCATGTGCATGGCCTAAAATATATAAATGAAAACTGACAGAACTAAAAGGAGAAAGAGAGAAATCATATTCAGAGTGGAAGAGTTAAACAGTATTGTCTCACCAATGGACAGAAAAAGCAGACAAATACAGTGAGGATTCAGAAGATTTGAACAATAGGATTAAGAAAAATCACTCAATTGAGACATATAGAACACTACACTCACACAGTAGAATTCATATTCTCTTAGTATGCAGAATATTTGCCCAAACTGACCATGAGATGGGTCATTAGCAATTATCAAGAAATCACAAACAACTGAAATCATACAAAGCATATTCTGACCACAGCGGATTAAGCTAGAAATCAACAAAAAGAAAGGTAGTAGCAAATCCCCATGTATGTGGAAGCTAAACAATTCACCAAATTACATATGGGTCAAAAGAAATCAACAATGAAAATCAGACCTTAATACAAAAATGTGGCAGTCGGGGATTAAATATGGCAGTGTGAGAGGAGAGACAGAGGCTTCCTCCTAAAACTGGATACAAGTAGAAAATATAGATGGCGCAACTAATCCTGAGAGTGCAACAGGAAAGAGGATGGCGTCAGACTGCACACACCTGGAGAAAAGAGCAGACTTCACCCAGCGGGGTAACGTACCAGAGCTGTGGCTCCGCGGGACCCGAGCCCTTCCCCCCAGCTCACCAGCAGGAGGAAGAGAAACAGAGCAGAGAGGGAGTGGAAGGCTTGGGACTGCTGAATACTTAGCTCCAAAGTCCTGCGCTGGGAGCACAAACCTACATTTCATGGTGCTTTCATGAGACTCACATTACTACAGGGCGGGAGAGTTAATATAGGCAGAGTTCCTGGGGAGACTGGGACTCCAGCCGCTTGTGGAAATCAGGGATCCATATCCGGCTGCTCTGGGACAAAAACTTATACCTGTGTGACTGGCCCACTGGCTCAGGTAGTGGAGACAGGCACAGCAGCTGGGAGGCAGGAACAGCTTTTTCCTTCCCCCAGTACTGCTCCCCTGTGACACCCGAAATTGCTTCAGGGGCTCAGCAGCTCCAGAATAGAGCTTCTGAACACAAGAGGGCGCCATATACAAACATGAAACGCCAAAGGAGAACTTTGTCCAGAGTAAAATTATTAATACAACTCCCAAGAAAGATTTAAATGATATGGACCTTGTGACTCTTCCTGAAAGGGACTTCAAAATAAAAATCATCAACATTCTAATGGAGGTAAGGAAAGACATCCAAGAACTCAGGAATGAATTCACATCGGAGATCCAATCATTGAAGAGCACGATGGAGGGCATTAAAAGCAGGTTGGATATGGTGGAGACCATAAATGAAATAGAAACTAGAGAAGAGGAATACAAAGAAACTGAGGCAGAGAAAAAAAAGGATCTCTAAGAAGAAAGAATATTGAGAGAACTGTGTGACCAAGCCAAGCGGAACAATATTCGCATTATAGGGATACCAGAAGAAGAAGAGAGAGAGAAAGGGATAGAAAGTGTCTTTGAGGAGGTAGTTGCTGAAAACTTCCCCAATCTGGGGAAGGAGGTAGTCTCTCAGGCCATGGAGAT